GCCTGGACACTATATCTCTTAGCCTTTCTGTGATCAAGGATAGCACTCTACCACTTGAGCCTCATACCACTTTTTTTTTTCCTAGTGCCACTTCTGGCTTTTTGTGTTTATGTGCTACTGAGGAATCGAACCCAGGCTTCATGCATGCTAAGCGAGCACTTTACCACTAAGCCACATTCCAGCCCTCTTGAAGATTCTTAATTGACACCTAGTAGCTGTACAGACTTCGGGGGGGTACAGTGTGACATTTCAATACATAAATACAAAGTTGTCATGATCAGGTCAAGGTCTTCAGTGGCTGTTTCTCTTTATATAATCAAAATTAAAAATTGTATAAAATGAAGAGTTTCAGATTCCAATCCTTTATCTCTGTCTCTATGGCAGACTCACTCACTGGATTCTTCATAACAGTGCTCCACTGTGGAATCATAGAGAAAAAGAGCACATGCCATGTCTTAAAAACAAGTTTTCTCCCAAAATTCTGTTAAAATTTGTAAGTTCAAAATCAAAGTCAACCCCAATACTGATTTTCCACTAGATAACAAAAAATGTCCTTACTTGTAGCTAACATAATTCCTGAGATATGAAGAATATAAATAAATGTAACCATTCACAAGTGACATAACAAAAATTAAGCAAATTTCACATAAAGAGATGAAATAGTCATTTATTTTTACCTCTTTTCACAATACTTATTCTCACTCCGTCCAGAAGGTGGAGCCAAAGACATACTTATCCACATATCCCCAGGCAGGTTCATTCCCATCCAAAAAAACAAAGTCCAGGAAAGCAAAATTAAGTGTTTTCCTTTACAAGCGCATGTTGTTGTTGCTTTTGTTGTATAATTTTTCATGGAGTGTCCCTTGGAGATAAATACAGGGTATAAAAGTTTGTTAAGATTTTCCCCAGGTGAAGTCAAGCATTGATCCTCAAATCACTTTCAAGAAGAAAATTAGACTTCATCTGAGTTGAAAACACATTGTCATAATAGTTTGCAATAGCAGGGGAATTCTTAACTGTTCTGAAAGAACTGTGGCCAGCCAAAGGCCAACAGTAATAGTGAAACACTTCTGCTGGTCGGACCAACTAAACCCATCAAAACTTCCACATTAATTGAGCTCCAAGCTCACTTTCATTACTCCTTCTTGACTGATCAATAAGTACTAGTTAAAATTGAAATTTGTTCCCAGAAAGAATCATTCTGATGCTAACAGAGAGGACTGGTAGCCCACCCTTAGCACCACCACCCACCCACCCCTACCCCCTCAGGCTGGAATCTCAAGATCCTGAGTTCTAGGCTAGCTTGAAGTACAAGGCAGAGACTCAGTCTCAAAAGAAAAAAAAGAAAAAGAAAAGAATTCCATCTTATCTATTTATAAAGTCAAGCTGGACCTGAGATCTAAGATAATCTTTCTATTCTTCCTCAGTTCCGTTTGAATCCCTTACCCCCGCCCCAACTCCCCGAGATACGGCATTGCCTCAATTCTTCTCTATCACATGACAGCTCAACCACTAGGAGAATCTACCTCCAAATGGTAGTTTCCTTCTACTCCAGACCTGTGCTTCCTTTTCTTCACAGACTCCAATCACTCTGCTTTAAAAGAGACCTAACTCTCCTGTCAGAGTTAACTGGCCATTGCTCCTTAGAACAAGTGATCATTTTCTTATAAATCAGACTTCTTTCTAATCATGATACACTCCCTTCCCTTTCTGGACATGGCCTTCCCTCTTTCGGCATTCTTTCTCTTTGCCTGGTGAAATAAGGCAATCTAATAAAGCTCAGGGTTTTGTCTTTGGGGCACCCTGCCCCACCTCTTTTCTTCAGTAATCTTATTTGTACCTATAGCTTTAACAATCATTATCTGAGTTGTGTCATAAATCTTCAGGGTTTTTTTTTTTATAGTGAAAATACCATACAAAGGAGTTACAATTACAAGGGCAAGATAATGGGTACATTTCTTATCAAGCATTGTTGCCTCCTCCTTTGTTTTAACCCGAAGTCCACTGTCTGTGATTTAAATGCAAGTCAGGTAGCTTTACCTAGATATTTCTATTCTTCAATCCAAGAAAATCAAACTGAAATCATTCTATTCATTCAGCAGATTATGCCTTCCTCTAACTTCCCTTTTCTGTGTGTGTCAGTGTATTTTGCCAGTTAAAATTCCAGTTTCCACATCCTCTTTGTTCTCATCTGCCCATTCAGCCTGTCATCAAGTGCTGGCCATTCTACTTTCCTTTCCTTCCTGCTAGCCTTCTAACTCAATTGAATACCCCTCCCTTTTCTTCCATTACAACAGTCTTTTTTCCATCCTCTAATCTACAATCACTTTTTCTTTTAAGACCTCACTACAATTTCCCAGGCTGGCTGCAAACAGCTGGACTCAAATGATGCCTCTGCCTCAAGTCCCAAGTAACCCAGACCACAGGCATACACCACTGTACCCCTTTTGACACCATTTTTTAAAGTATTTATATTATTCATTGAAAAAAGAATACTCACTCTAGCAAGGTTTGTGTAAAGTAGGAATTTAATATCTTTAAATATAACTACAAGCATCCAACTTCTGGAATTTTGAAACACAAGGGATTTTATTTTGGTTTAATTCAATTAGGTTTCTATTACTGCTCAGAATTTTGAAAAGCAGTCTACTCTTTGTGCATTGCTCAAAGTACATAACAACACGGATAAGAGATGAAGGCCTGACCCTGATGGATTCTCAGGGAGACCTGTAGGAGGCTGTAAATGACCATTCCTCCTTCCTCAAAGCAAACCTTCCTAGTCAAGGCCTGGCAATCAGAGAAGGTGCTGTCTGTAAAGTCAATATTTATTGTAAGGAATGATAGGGTAAGTATTCACATTTCTGAGATGATGAGAAAACACATTTTTTAAAGTTCATCGTACAACAGTAGAATGTTCCTCTGGAGACAAGCTTTCTAAGAGAGATTATGTTGAATATTTTTTAAACATATACATATATATGTATACATATACATACATATCTCCAAAGATAGTCTTTTTGAAATTTTCATTGGTATTATGCAGATATATAGGTGGATGTGGGAATACTAGTACCTTAATAACAATGAATTCTTCAAAATGTTATCTTTCTATTTATTTAGGTCTTTAAGTTCTATCAAGATTGTTTCATAGGGCTGGGGATGTGGCTTTGTGGTGGAGTGCTTGCTTTGCATGCATGATTGATTTGATTCCTCAGTTTGATTCCTCAGAACCACAAAAACAGTAAAAGGTGGAAGTGGTAGAGTGCTAGCCTTGAGCAAATGAAGCTCAGGGGCAGTGCCTAGACCAGGCCCTGAGGTCAAGCCCCAGGAGTAATAACACACACACACACACACACACACACACACACACACACACACACACACACACACACACACACACACACACACACACACAGAGTTTTATAGCATTTAGAGTATTGATTTTTTTTGCCTCCTTTTATTGAATTTGGAGTGTATTTTTGAATGATGGTATAAACAACCTTTTTTTCACTTTCTTTTCCTTTTTTACTGCCAAAAAGAAAGATATTTTTATGTTAAAAATGAAGAGAATATTTTCTTATAGTAAAAATCCTGTTTCTCAGGAATAGCTTCCGAATTGTATGAAATAATTTATAGTAAAGACCAAATAACAGATTAATTTGAAGTAAAGACAGCATAAATACAAGTCTAAAACAGTGGGTTGCTGATCCTGTCAGACTTAGTAGATTACAATTTATAACATTGTATCACATTGTTTTTCTCCTTCCTTAACAGAAAGAGAAACATACCCTTGGGAGATTGTGCCTCAAAAGTACATCTGAAAGATGACCTACTAGTTATTTCCCTATTACTAGGAAATGTTTGCCATTCTTTTTTTTTTCTTCTGATATTAGTATGAGTGAGAGCAAGTCATTTTAAGTCCAGATGAGTTTGCTTTGGTTTTAGAGAACAATGTCCTCAATTCAGTAAAATTATTGGGGAGTGGTCCAGCCTCAGACTTTTTTGCAGGGGTGACCTGGAGTCCGCAAACAAGCTGCCCATTCTAAAAACAGGCCACAGGACTCAGCCGTTCTAAACCCTAATGCAGAGTCCTGGAGACAGAGTCAGGGAAGCTTACAATGCCTTTTCCCAGAACTCTAGCCAGGAGCTAGGGGTGGGGGAGATGTTAAGGAGGGGGAAGGGTTTTGAGTCTCACTTAATTCCACCTCCACATAAGTTGACCAGTAGGGTCTGCATTTGATTTCCTTTTTTTAAAGCTTGACATCTGGCTACAGATTGAAATGTTAGGGTGCTGAGCCAGACGAGCCAGGCTGAGATATATAAATTCTCAGTTCCCAATAGATTTTGTACAGGCCCACACTTCCTAGTCAAAACATTACACAGAGGGTGTCTGTAATAGAAGACATAGAGTCTATCCTATTGAGGTCCTTTTTGTTAACCAGAAAGAGTCAAAAAGACAAACAAGTCAAGAAATAGGAGGCTGGCTTGGGTAGCGATCTACCCCCCCCCCACACACACACACACGAGTGTCTTTGAAGGCACTTCAGGCCTTTGATATTTGTCCACCTCAACCTTCACATCCCCTGCTCCAGGAATAATTTCCTCCTGGCTATTCTCCTCCATTTTTAATGTATTAAATGTAAGAAAACTTACTCGTTTAAAATACATAGTTTTGTCTTGGTCTTTTGGCCAGACTAAAACCAGCAGGTTTGAATCGGTAGGGCTGTCCATGTTTCTAATGCTACGTATCTATACATATATATGCGTATATGTAAACATCTATGTATATGTGTATCTATTTCTCCCCAGCAAATGGAAACTGCGTTATGGTGACCTGGTTGCTCAGCTCTGGCCTCCTCTCCCGCCCCAGGCTCCCCGGCCTCCTCCCCGCCTCGCCTTCTTCCCTCCCCTTTCTCCTAGCCCCTCCTTCCACTTGAGTCAGTGGCTTGAAACTTTTAAAAGCTCAGTGCTCCAAGTTAGAAAAAAACTTTTTTTTTTTTTTTTACGAGGTATCAGCACTTTTCTTTCATTAGGGGGAAGGCGTGAGGAAAGCACCAAACGGCAGCAGACTTTTAAACTTTAAATAGACAGGTCCGAGTGTCTGAACTTGCCTTTCCTCTGGTATCTCATCCACCCAGGAGTTCCAGGCTTGGCGCGCCCGCTTCACTCCTTTTAAGTGAGAGAGTAAGTGTTTTAAACCCTCCTTTACCTACTCGTTTCTTTTTCTTCAAGTCCCAACTTTTCTCTCCTTGGCTTTAATACACGTGTAACTCCACGTTAACTTGGGCTTTTGAGTGTACAGGCAGCGAACTTCGGGGGCTCTGGGGGTTCCAGGGGAAGACTGGAATTTCCATTTTGATTTCTTTTTAAGTGTTTTTGGTGGTGATGCAACAGGTAAAAGGTTCTAACCTTGCCGATTCTCAGAAGAGCCTCCGCTGTGGGGTTTGGGTTCTCGGTCTGGGAGCGTGATTGTGCTTACCTCCTGGGGAGCAGGAATGAGGGTCGGTGGTCCTCACGGTGGGCCGGGGATGTGGGGTGCGAGGGAGGAATGTGGGGACCTGGCTTGGGAGTCTGATGGACTTTACAGAAAAAGAGAAAGACTTCCAAGTGCAAATCTGCCTAGCGTGCTTTCCTCTCGTGTTGGACCCGCGGTGCTTTCTCTCGCGGAAAACTTGATGGATGTCCGCAGCCTTGAAAAGCAAACTTCTTTTGTAAGCGAGCGCTTTGTTACAGCGTGCGGCTCGCTGACGTCCACGTGGTCCCCTTCTCCGCCCGTCTCCCTCCCCGGGCGCGCGGAGGGGGCTCCGGGCTCCGAGCCTCCGCAGCCGGGCTTGGGAGTCCACGTTGGGCAGCCTGGGGGCCGAGGGAGCCCGGGCGGGTGGTGGGTGGTTACTTGGGGGTGCTGGGGCGGGGGATGGGGGGGAAGAGCAGGCGTTTAGGATGCGTCCCCCCAAACCATCTCCTAAAAGGCCAGCTCCTAGAAAGGAGAGGGAAAAGAAATGTGCGCCAAGCTTAAGCCGCGACCATCTCCCCACCCCCACCCCACCCCATCCAACTGGCCGGGCCGTCCGAACCTGTAGCACACTGCGCCGGGCTCGGCGCGCCCGGGGGCAGGACGGCTCGTTCGAGGATTTTTCCACTAGTCTGTGCTGTTTAAGAAGGGTTCGCTTTTGTTAGGGGATCTTGGTTGCGTTTTGGTTTGTTTGGGGAGGGGGGGTGGCCACTGATGGTGTGAACCACCCGCGCAGCCGTGCACGACCAGGGTCCGGTAGAAATCGGGTCTCTCTCCGCGGACTGGATTGCTTGCTGTGACCCCCCTCCTCCCCCCGGAGCCGGAAGGCTCGGCCCCCCGAGAACTCTAGCAGGAGAATTAAAATGAAAGCTCGACGGGGCGCCTCCTGCCATCTTAGCCACCTCCTCCCGAGCCCCTGGCGGCCCCAGCCTCGGGGGCTGCAGCTGCCTACCTCCCCCGCCCCCCATCTCCAAATCCGCTCGGGTCCCCGACTGGCCTCTGCAGGGAAGCCGGCAGGGGCGAGGCCAAACGGTGGGACCTACCGTGATGGACGTAACTAAAGCTGTCAATCTCCCCCACACCCCGGCCCGGTCCCTCTCCCCTCTCGCCTTCTTGCTTTCTCGGCTCATTTTCTTCCCGATCGCCCTGCGGGACCCCGGGGAAGGGAGTCTGAACACCTTTGGGAGTTGTGGTGCTTGCTGCTAGATTGCACTTGTAACGCTTCTGGAAGTTCTTAAAACTTCCGAAGAATGAAACGAGGCGGGGGTGGAGGAGGAAGGAAGACCCTGAAACGTGTCCTGGAGCGAATCCGTGCACGACTGGAAAACTCAGACCCGGAGTTCCTGGCTGCGACTCGGCGCCCTGGGTCCTGGGATTCACCGCACGCAGGCCGGGCTGCGGGTGGATCAGGTTTTGCGACGATCTCTCCTTGACCCGTGTCAGACTCAGTTTCCCTCCCCCAGAAGAGCTTCCCTTTACCACCCTCCCCCACAGTTGTACAAAAAGTGAGGTCAGAAGAGAACTAAGGTGCAGGGAGGGTTCCCCTTGGCTTTATTCAGAGATGGGAGTTAATTTCCTTTGCGCCCAAACCAAGTTAGTAATACCGAGAAAGACGCTGAATCTCTCCCGCTGAAACACTTTTAAAACTGTCAGAATTTCCCGGGAAGAAGCTCGATTTTTATTGTTTATTTATTTATTTACTTTTATGCAAGAACTGCTGAGAATAAAAGCCTATAAAGTCTTGCAAAGGGAGATCTCATGAGAGGTATACACTCCCAAGGATGCAGCGTGCCAATTCCATGAAAAATACCCATTGAGATAGATTAATTAGTGCTTTGGGGCAGGTCAAATTGAATTAAAAAACATTGTACCAGTCACCACAGGCACATTCTGTCCTGGTGTTGTGTTGAATTCTGCATTGTTGGAATGTGGTTCCCAGATGGTAAAATGTTTTGTGCTTCACAATCGCATACAGGGGCCACCTGTCCTTTGTCTACCATTGTCTAAACAGATTTCAAATGTCCCAAAATTTTAGGTTTATCACCACAGAGTTTCACCCTCTTTCCATTGTGACTCTCCCTCAGGAAATACACCCTGTAGCAAGTATCTAGACATCCAAGGTCACTTTGCTGCTTGGGTGTTTGCAATTCCTACCTTGACAAAGACGAGAGCTCCTGATAGTCTATTTTGTGGGTTACCACAGTGTAGCTTAGCTTGGTGAGAACCTGAGAAACTATATGCCTGAGGGAAGAGAATGATAAAGGAAAGTCACTAGTGATTAAAACCTGTTATTTTGACTTCCCTTCAAGAGTCTCTTTGAATTGCCTGTGTTGGAAGTGAACCCAGTTGAGCTCTGGAAAGGGGAAAGGATATCAACAACCTTCAATAAAGATAGTACAGGTTAAGAAAAACAACCCAGTCAGGTCTGGTGGTATACTCCTCTAATTCCTAGCCAGGAAGAAGCTGGAATTGGAAGAATGTCATATAGGTCAAGGCCGCCCTGGCTATATAAGAAGTTAGTCTCAACTGCTTAAACTATCCACTTCACTTTACTGTCTACTAAATTCACCATCTAGCTGGGTTTATATCAAGCATCCTTTGTTTGGTTTAAATATGTTTTTAAGTCATTTCACTTGCTGTTTTGGTAAAGAAGAGATATGTTAAATAAATGGGGTAGGCGCCCCCTCCCCCACAAATTTATTTGTACCCATAGTGAGGCTTGAGCTCTGTGCCTGGGTGCCATCCCTTAGCTTTTTCACTCAAGGCTGGTGATCTACCCCCTTGAATCACAGCTCTTCTTCTGGCCATTTGGTGGTAAATTAAAGAGATAAGAGTCTCATGGACTTTGCTGCCTAAACTGGCTTTAAACTTTGATCCTCGGATAGATCTCAGTGTCCTGAGTAGCTAGTGTTAACAGTTGTGAGCTACTGACACTTGACTTCCATAGATCTTAGCTGAACTTTGTTGCACTCAACATACAAGAGTTCTCTTAATCAGAGTGCATTAAGGAGAAGAATACTGTTAAACAATTCACTTTGGGTTTGAGCTTCATACTGGGTGTGTTTGTTTATAGGATTACAAATGACTGGACTATGCAAATGGAAGCTAGAAGTTAGGGGAGCTTTTGAAGTTAACCCCAGTCACTGCTGAAAAATGTTCTAGTCTGCAGCTTCTGACTTAAGTGTTTTTCCTGTGGCACCCCTAAGTTTATGCTAACAAACTTTGGTTGGTGGAGGAATTGAGTTGTCTCTTGGTCACCACCTTTTGGAGTAGCATCCTTCACTATATCTCTCTTCTTGGCCTGTGGAAACTGATGGTATACACATGATGACTGAGGAGATCCAGGAAAAGGAAAACTTGCTTGGGTCCTAGTTTTGTGTTTTGATCTTACTTCCCAATTCTTATCCCCTAAAAGAGAGACAGAGAGAAAGAAAAAAAAAACAACAGCAATTCATCAAAAACCTTCAGGAATGTAAAGGTGTGTCAGCTCTTTAGCACGGAATCTGAGACTAATCAGGCAGGACTTTAAACAGAGTAGATGTTTACGCAGAATAGATTTGATAGACCACAGACCTAGGCTGAGCTTCAGCTCTCTGGGCAGAAAGAAGCAAAGGTTGGGTGTTATCTAATGCAGAGGGAATGTTTTGGGTGTTTTTTTCCCTCCAGGTTTCAAATCGCTACCTGCTGTATGGGTATACATTGTGTGGAGATGTTCTATAACTGGGGTTAACCCCAGCTCTCCTTCTCCTCCTTCACCTTTGTCCCCCTTTTTTCCTTCTTTCCATTTTCTCATCTTGTTTGTCCTTGAAGGACACATTTTAAACTGTTTTTCTGCAGTCATGTCCTTGGCTGCAATAAACGTGTTACAGTCAGAATGTGCAGGACAAGAAAAATTAGCAGCATCAGGACCGCATCTTAGAAATGACAAACGCCTTTTCTTGAATGTGTTTTTACTTCACTCAATCCTATTGCTTAGTCAGGAATGATGTCAAGTGTTGTTTCAACAATCAGTGCTCTCAGAGTAATTGTCATCTGAAAATGTTACAGTCTTAGTTACAAATCCATTCAGCAAGTATTTACACAGCATTTCTTACTTGGTTTAAGTCCTAGTGGACAGAACTAACTCCCTCACAGAGCTCACATTCTGACTGAAGAAAGCAAGATAGTAAGCAATAAGCCCTAGTGGACTGCAGATAAATCATACGCTCTGAGAGTTGTTTTAAAAAGTAGGACAAGGGGAAATAAGAAGTGTCAGGACCGGTAAAAGGATGTTGCTGTTTTCTACTTGGTAGTCAGGAAAGTTGGCTAAAGTAGTGAGGCCTGAAACTCGTGGAGAAAGAGCTATGTGGGAGGAACAGAGCTGATTCAAAACTAGGTTAGCAAGTTGGGTGCCCAGTGGACTGGGGCAGCAAAATAGTGATGATGGCTGAAATCAGGCAACAGCAAGGATGGTGGCGGGAATGGGTCATAGTCTGATTTCCTTCCTTCCTTCCTTCCTTCCTTCCTTCCTTCCTTCCTTTTTTCCTTCTTTTCCCTTTTTCTCTCTTTCTTTCTCTTGTGCCCCTTCTGGGGCATGGATTCAGAGCCTGGGCACTATACGATTGATCAAGGCTAGCTAGAGTTCAGACCCTTGAGCCTCAGCTCTACTTCCAGCCTTTTGCTAGTTAGTTAGGCGAAAGAGGCCCACAGACTTTCTTGCCCAGACTGGCTTTGAACTTTGTTCCTCAGATCTCAGCCTCCTGAGTAGTAGGATTATAGGCATGAGCCACTGATGCTGGCATTTTAGAAAGCATAGTTTTATTCTTTCAGATATGAATGACTTTAAGTCTTTCCTAATTTTCATCATAAAACATTGGGGGGCCATGTCTCACTTTAATTTCTGACTTTTTTGGGGGGGGTCCGGTCATGGGGCCTGAACTCTGGGCCTGGGTGCTGTCCCTCAGCTCTTCAGCTCAAGGCTAGCGTGCTACCACTTGAGCCACAGCACCACTTCCGGCTTTTTTCTTTTTGCTTATGTGGTGCTGAAGAATCAAACCCAGAGCCTCAGGCATGCAAGGCAAGAGCTCTACCACTGAGCCACCTTCCCAGCCCCTTCCGACAATAATTTTGCTTGCCTTCATTTCCATTATAAAAAGATGGGGGAACCGAATCTCTCTTTAGTTTCCAAAAATAATTTTACCTTCATTTAACCTTCATTTCTCCATCTTTTTCCTAAAGAGATCTCTTCTGATTTGGAGATTTACTCCAGAGATCTTATAGTGGCAGGGAAGAGGGTCCCTGCGCCCTGTGCCCTGTGCCCAGAGTAGCTGCTCTTGCTCAGCTTTGTGGACTTTCACATGCTCTGCTCTGGCCTTTTCTGCCCTCTTGACATTCCTGGACTCCTAAGCCTTTGGAACAGGAAAACACCAAAAGTGCTGAGGAATCAAGTGTTTGCCTGCTGACCTAAAACCTTACTTCAGAACCACCTGGGATTTTTCTTTAAACAAGTAACCAAAAAAAATTAAAACTCTTATTTCTCAGGCCCCACCTTGTAGAAATAGAGACTGAGGAGGGCCAGGAATGTGTGTTAGCAAATGCTAGGAACTGAGTGTGAGGTACCTAAAAAAAACCTGGAAAGGACCAAGAGTGCTAAGCCAGGTCACACTGGGAGAACAAAGGAAAATGGTTTGACCTGGTATGCAGGAGTAACTGAAGGGCTACCCAGCCGCTGTTAAATCTGCTCTGCGTGAGAACTTTGCACATGGCCCCTTTGGGAATCTAGAAGTGAAGGATATGAATGCAATATGTACTCCATAAATCAAGGCCTGGGGTTCTGTAAAACATGATTCCTTATCTTTATATGAAAGGCCATTGTTTCCCACACTAAGATGGGCAGGGGAGCGAGGAATGAAAGTTTTAAACTGGATGTGAGAAGAGAAGAACCACTTGTTGGGACTTTTGGTGTTTGTGGCAAAGTAAACAAGCAGCTAGCAGTAAGAAGTTTTTGTTGCATTTTCTTGAGCCACAAGATGAACCATCACATTTGACACTGTTATTTGTCTATGACAGTGGTAATGACAGGTGTCTACATGCTGCAGGATGCAGGGTATCTGTCCAATTGGATAATTCCTGTTTTATCCAGATGAAAGGCTATAACTCATTAATGCAAATAACTACTGCGTGGGATTGCAATTAAATTGCCAGTGTGTTTTAAAAAACACTACTTAGAACTTCCCAGTGACCCAGTTTTTGCACACTGGCACTATTGAATGGGAAACTCTTGGAATCATGAAAGTCTGATTTCATTTTCAAGAATGGGACGCATTTAGTATTGAACCTCCACAAGCATCTTCACAATCATCTTTTACTTTAAGAAACAAGAAAGCCCTTACTAAAGGACAGCTTCTGTTGGGTCTGATCATATGTTTAATTTGTCTTGAGATCTACTATTGCAGGAATGTGATGAGATATATGCAAACAGATTATTGGGTGCTTTACAAACAGAATGAGGGCTGATTTACACATCATCATATATAAATAATGTTGATATCACTCAAACTGTTTGTTGACTATTCATCTTCATCCCCAGACTAGTTTTTCCTGAATTATAGGAACACACACACACACACACACACACTGGTTCTGGGGCTTGAACTCATGGCCAGAGCTCTGTCCATGAGCATATCTGCGTTTAAGTGTTCTACCAGAGCTCCCCTTCCTGTTTTCTGGTAGTTAGAGGTAGGTCATGGAATTTCCTGCTGGGAGCTGGCATTGAACCACAGTTCCAGATCTCAGCCTCCAGAGTAGCTAGGATTACAGTTGTGAGCCACTGGCGCTCAGCTGGGTTTTTATTTTGTTATATATGTTCTCTCACCATTCAACTATCCATCCAGACAAAATTGACTTCTTTCAAGCTTTGCCTTGGCCTTTTAACTCTACAATCACCTGGGCTCTTTCTCTGTTGGGGTTCAGTTGTTGATGTGTAGCTCAAGCTGGTCTGATGGATGCTCATTATATAGATGGAACTTGGCAACCCATCTCCTGCATCGTCCTCCCAGTGCTGGAATTACAGGCAGGCACCACTATCCCAAGATTTGCTTCTTCAAAAATATTGGTCTTTGAGCTTTCTCTCTCTCTCCCTCCCTCCCTCTCTGCCTCTCCATCATTTAAAAGGATGAATGGTCATTAGGGAATAAATTAAACTCACTTAATAACTTTTTTGAGATCACTGTCAATCTTACAGACCTCTTTTCTCATCCTCAATGATGGAGTCCTAGACATACATGTAGTGCTTTAAGAAGTTAAGTGGGATACATAGGCCAAGGGCTCAAAGCCCAGTAAGGGAACTGAAATATAGTGCTTATTTTAGAGGAGGGTTCTATACAGAGAACGTGGTATTCAATGGCATACTTGAGTACAAGCTGTTGAAATATAAATATTAGTGCTTAAGACAAAAGAGGCCAGGAATGATTTTTTTTTTAAATCAAGGCAACTGTAATCTCAGAATTTGAGAGGTTAAGGCAGGACTGAGAATTTGATGTCCATTTGGGCTACTTTCAGAACTCATGACCAGACTGGGCTACATAGGAAGATTCTGTCTCAAATAAAAGGAAATGATGCAGGAGGGAGATAACAAAAAACAAAAGTAGAAATAATATAATGTAGAGTATATACAAAATATACCTGGTGTACCATGGTAACAACATTTCAGAGTAAAATTAGGAATGAAATGATAATCATCATTTGTGAGGTAAGGGTGTGTGTAATCTGTTCCTGCATAATCATGCCTCTGTCTTGAGATCTCTGTGCTGTGAATACCACAAACAGGGTTTTGCTTAGGCATGCCTTGGACACACTTAGCAGTCTTCAAGCTAAGATTGCTTTTCACCCTTTAGATAGGTGGTGTTGGCTTGGAGGGGGATGGGGTTCCAGGGGGAGGGAGGGAGGGAGGAAGGAAGGAAGGAAGGAAGGAGAAAATGCATGAGACCTAGGAATTGAAAATAAGGCAGCAGAATTCCATGATTGCCATAGTTTGACTTGTCAGCCAAGAGAAACTGCTGACTTGCGATCTGTGCTCAATAAGTTGGCTTTCTGTGTTTTCTCAGGAGGTGCCCAGGCAACATGGGTGACTGGAGCGCCCTAGGGAAACTTCTGGACAAGGTCCAAGCCTACTCCACGGCTGGAGGGAAGGTGTGGCTGTCTGTCCTCTTCATTTTCCGAATCCTGCTTCTGGGGACAGCAGTTGAGTCAGCTTGGGGCGACGAGCAATCTGCCTTTCGATGCAACACGCAACAGCCTGGCTGTGAGAACGTGTGCTACGACAAGTCTTTCCCCATCTCTCATGTGCGCTTCTGGGTCCTGCAGATCATATTCGTGTCTGTACCGACCCTGCTGTATCTAGCTCATGTGTTCTATGTGATGCGAAAGGAAGAGAAACTGAACAAGAAAGAAGAGGAGCTCAAAGTGGCCCAAACGGATGGCATGAACGTGGAGATGCACTTGAAGCAGATTGAAATCAAGAAGTTCAAGTACGGCATTGAAGAGCACGGCAAAGTGAAGATGCGCGGGGGCCTGCTGCGCACCTACGTTATCAGCATCCTCTTCAAGTCCGTCTTCGAGGTGGCCTTCCTGCTCATCCAGTGGTACATCTATGGCTTCAGCTTGAGTGCCGTCTACACTTGCAAGAGAGAACCCTGCCCACATCAGGTGGACTGCTTCCTCTCGCGCCCCACGGAGAAAACCATCTTCATCATCTTCATGTTGGTGGTGTCCCTGGTGTCCCTTGCCCTGAACATCATCGAGCTCTTCTACGTGTTCTTCAAGGGGGTCAAGGATCGGGTGAAGGGAAGGAACGACCCCTACCACCCTAACGCCGGCAGGCTGAGTCCCTCCAAGGACTGTGGATCTCCAAAATACGCTTATTTTAATGGCTGCTCCTCCCCAACCGCCCCTCTGTCTCCTATGTCTCCTCCCGGCTACAAGCTGATTTCTGGTGACAGAAACAATTCCTCTTGCCGCAATTACAACAAACAAGCCAGCGAGCAAAACTGGGCCAATTACAGCGCAGAACAAAACCGGATGGGACAGGCAGGAAGCACCATCTCTAACTCCCACGCGCAGCCCTTCGATTTCCCCGATGATAACCAGAATTCTAAAAAAGTTACGGCTGCCCTGGAACTGCAGCCCCTGGCCATTGTAGACCAGCGACCTTCCAGCCGACCCAGCAGTCGCACCAGCAGCAGACCCCGGCCTGATGACCTGGAGATCTAGTTGCAGGCTGGAGAGCATCAAGGTTCCACTCAAGTTTGTGGAAGAGATTAAAAAGGTGCTGTCAGTGTGTGCACCTTAGGTGTTCATTTTTGTTCTATTGGAGGTGGTACTCAAAGCCTTAGAAGTAAGGCTTGGAAACAAACACACACACACACACAAAACACAAAGACATAGAATACACTAGGGTGGGTGGGATATCTAGTAGAGGTGAGTGGAAACGGAAGGGGGGATGAAGGAGATACCTGCTGGTTGGTATTTAATGTAGTGGATTCAAAGACGTTCCAATGCTAAGAGCCATATTCGTGAGGGCTTTATCTCCCCCTACTTCCCCCAACACACACCCTTAAGAGTGGCTCTGTGTATGTGAATGTGTGGGTGATGTGTTATGGCTATGGATCTTTTAAAATGTTTGCTTTACCAAGAAACTGAAAGAACTTTGTTCAAGAATAATAAATACTTCCTAAAACATCCCATTTTTCAACTAGAAAGATATGGTTGTCCTTATGTCCCTGCTCAAAACATTCCATTGTTAAAATTTGCACATTGAAGGCCTGACCCTAGAGGTGTCAAAGGACTTAACGCTACTATATATATACATATGTATTTTAATTCTTGGTATCAATTAAAACTTCAGACAAGGCCCACAGAAAAAGGTTATCCATACATGTGCATCTCAGCCGGTTCTGTGTCCATTCTTTAATCCACTTCATCATGTTACCTTCACCTTCCCATCATTCCTCAATCAGGACTCACATTCATCGAGTGCTTTCTGTATACATTTTTTTTTATAATAGCTGGGATGTCATCTACCATTATTTGCATTAGTGTCAGGGAAACAAGCCATGCTCCATAGTTAAATCACTTGCATGTGTCTGTATGAGAAAGAGTGTGTTTCTATTTGTCAAGGTATTGGTACAAGCAAATGCAATATAAACTCACAAACACAAATTTGAAAGTAATGTACACACAATGTTCAAAGTCAAGCCTTTCTCATGGATTTTGTGGTGTGGGCCAATATGGTGTTTACATTATATAATTCCTGCTGTGCAAGTAGAGCACATTTTTTTTTCCTTAAAATGATTTCTTCCATGTATCCTATTGTGGGTACTGAGTTTGTTCATTATGATTTTTTCCTTTTTTTTTTTTTTTTAGAATGTAGCAGTAATGCTATTACTGAAACAAATGATTTTTCTCTTCTGAAATATAATCATTGATGCTTGAATGATAGACTTTTAGTACTGTAAACAGGCTTTAGTCATTAATGTGAGAGATTTAGGAGAAATGCGTAGTGTGGACTGTAGAGTTTGCCTAAATGAGTTTTGCAGTAACTGATGTTCTTGGTTTTGTTTTTTTTTCTTACTTAATACACATTAATTCAGAAATCATATTTCGATTTGACAGGTGTTTGGAATGACCAGCAGCTTTGATGTTTGCACTAAGGTTTTATTTGGAATGCAAGAGAGGTTGAAAGAGATTTCAGTCATACACATGTAACTAATTTATTTCAACTCTGCTAAAAGACATCTAGTTGATCTTCAAATGCCTTTTTAAAAACTCATCACAGGTGATTGGGGGAATGCTGAGTATCATACATTTCACGTCAGCTACATAAATGGTTTTATACAATGAAAAATACTAATTTGTTTGACATTCCATGTTAAACTACTGTCAGGTTCAGCTTCATTGCATGTAATGTAGACCTAGTCCATCAGATCATGTGTTCTGGAGAGTGTTCTTTATTCAATAAAGTTTTAATTTAGTATAAATATATACTGTATTCTTATTTTTTTTGTTAGGTACATCTATTCAAAATTGTCAGTTTATTTCTCATGGCTACAATAATTTGTGCAAGTAAGATTCACAATTTCAGGGATTTTAAAAGGATTCTTTGCCGGGGTCTTGGTGGCTCCCACCTATAATCCTAGCTAGTCAGGAGGCTGAGATCTGAGGACCGGGGTTCAGGCAGGAAGATCTGTGACACTTAACCACAAAAAACTGGAAGTGGAGCTTGGCTCCAAGTGGTAAAGACTAGCCTTGAGCAAAAAAGCTCAGGGATAGTGTCACACAGTTGTGACCGCCCCCGGAAAAAAAAAAAAGAGAGATTTTTATAATGTTCTGTGGAGCACTGTAAACATTCCAAATACTGGCATTTCAACCATGTGTCACAAAGCCTGGCTCGGTAATTTAAAAAATTTTAGCATTCAAGGAAAAGATCCAACAATCAATACAACAATTCTAGGCAATTGTTTAAAATTGTCATCATTTCAATCACTTGAGATATTTCTTACTTCTGCAACCCAGTGTTTAGACTGAAACAAGATGACTGTGAGTTCAAGACCAGCTTGTGCTATGTAGACCTGTTCAGTTATTAGAAATATTAAAGAAGTTCCAAAGTACTTTAGTGTAGGTCACATGCATGGCAATAATGAGGTTTTAACATAGGGCTTCATGCTTGCTGCACTTTGCTACCTTAACACAAAACTCTAGCCCTTTTGTGCTGGTTTTGGTTTTGGTTTTGGCCCAGGCTGGCTTGGACAGTTATGCTTATATATTTTATACTGAGACAAGTACTATGCACCCAGGTATTAGTTGAGACTGGGTCTTGAAAACTTGTCTATGTTGGCTTCAAACCCAAATTCTCCTAATATCTGCTTCTTTGAGCCACAGGTACTTGGCTGCTTCTTTAATTTTAAATGAACAATGAGTAGTATTAGTCTATTCTTGGACAGATTAGTGTCTCTCTTTCCTACTCTATGTATCTGTATACATCTCGAATGGAAAGGTGATTTAAGTATGAATCATAACAAACCATAAATTGTGATTACTTAATAAAATGAAAGGAAGAGGTTATCAAATGTCTGCATAAGGGAGTAAATTCAACTTTTAGAAAGCCATAGGAACCAACCTAAACATTTTTCCATCTTTCCCAAGGTTCTCACAATATTGCAGAAGTATGTCTATATGTCTATGAAGGTGTATAGATGTTTGTGGGCTGGGACACAGCTCAGTGCCATTGTGATTGTATACTTATCAGCATGCACGAGTTAGATCACCAGCATTAGCACAGCAGATTAGGTATGATGCATATGCCTGTAAACTCAGATACAAGGCAGGAGACAGATAAGAGGATCTCTGCCAGGAAGTGCAAAAAGTTAAGGAAAATCATTTCAAAAACAAAGCTACTAAAAATAAGATGAAAAGAATAGTGAAACTAAACAGTAAGATTGTTCCCCCTTTTATCCTTTACCCCTAAAGAAATAGTTTTGTCAAAATCCTGCTATTAAGCAAGGCACTGGTGGCTCATGCCTGTTATCCTAGCTACTCAGGAGGCTGAGAGCTGAGGGTTGCAGTTCAAAGCCAGCCCAGGCAGGAAAGTCCTTGAGACTCCAATTAACCACCAGAAAACCAGAAGTGGTGCTGTGGCTCAAGAGGTAGAACGTTTGCCTTGAGCTAAAGAGTTCAGGGACAGCACCCAGGCCCAGAATTCAAGCCCCATGATGACAAGTGGTTCAAAGTGGTAGAGTGCTAGCCTTGAGCAAAAGAGCTCAGGGACAGTGCCCAGGCCTTGAGTTCAGACTCATGACTGACCCCCTCCCCCCAAAAAGGACTAGATTCTGGTATTCATTACATGAGCATCTTTCAACTATCTTCTCTCTCTCCCCACCCATTCCCCCTCCCCCACCTAGAACTTGAATTCAAGGCTTTTCTCTCACATTTGACTTCTTAAGATTGGTGCTCTACAACTTGACCCACCGTCCCAGTCCAGAATTTTGCTGGTTAGAAATAAAGTCTTAAGAGTGGGTGAACAAGGGAAGGGCTAACAGTGCTTGACAAGAAATGGTCTCATTGCCTTACTCATGTAACTGTAACCCTTCTGTACATCATCTTTACAATTAAAAAAAAATAAATGAAGTCAAAGACCTTCTTGATGGGGCTGGCTTCAAACTAAGATCCCCTAGGATTACAGGTATGAGCCACTATTGCCCAGCTAATTTTTTCTTGTTTTCACCCAGACAATTCTTACTATATTATATAGTAGTCCATACTGGCCTTCAGCTTATGAGTCTTCAGTATCCCAAGTGCTAGAATTACAGAGTAGGTTGTACTAGTACTACTACAAGAAGTAATATATATATAATATATATATATATATACACAAATATAATTTTATATATACACACACACACACACACACATATATATATATATATGTATATGGAAATCTGAGAGTCTGAGGATCATAGTTTAAAACTAGCCTGGACAAGAAAGTCCATTAGACTCTTGTTTCCAATTAACCACCAAAAAGCTAGAACTGGAACTGTGACTTACATAGTAGAGCTCTACCCATGAACAGAAAAACTCAGGGACAGTGCCAAGGTCCTGAATTCAAGCCCTAGGACTGGCACAAAAGAAAGAAAGCATTCCACACAAACTTTTTTTAAATTGAGACACAGTATCTCTAACTAGTGCTCTAGTTTATTCTCACCATAGCACTGGGAAATTTTGATTAAACTAAAAAATCTATAGCTATTCATTTACCTTCTTTTGTGAACATTGAACCACTTCACCCACCTAAGGTTCCCTGCCCACACTTTGCTGCTTCTAAAAATTTTCATAATCCAACATGCCAGAACAGCTGTGCTTTGTACTAGGAGGGAGAGAGCAAAATAATGAAGTTTGGAGGCTTGTTAAAGTCTTAAAGTGAGTTCTCTCTATAAACAGCAGCACAGCAATAGTGTAAGAAGCATGTTTATAATCTTTATGGGCTCTGCAGCTCTGTTTTTACCTTTTCTTGGTGGGGCAAACAGAGCTGCGCTCTTAAGTCAGAATTTTCCCCTAGCAATTGCCAGTACTCCAACTCATGGAACAAAAACCTAAGAAGCCTGTCTCAACAACACTAGAAGCGTATGGTGTAGAAAAGAGCTGATTTGGGAGGTTAAGAAAATAATAATAACAACATTTTTATCCTGGTCTTCAAAAGTGTTGAAGTTTTAGGTTGGGTTATTTTGTCTGTTTCCCAGATGTGTCTTGCAGATGACTACATGCTAATTTGGGCTGTGACCATGACGTGGAGTGCAATTTTCAATGCCCACACACTTTCCTGTTGTGAGAGGCACCCACTTTAGAAGACAAACCGGAAGTCCGAGGTTAATTTAGTACTCTAAGCCACCTGCCCCCGTGCAGAATGCAGAGTGCCCGCTCTGTCTTTCATGCGTTTTTGTCTGTTTGTTTTTAATTCAGGATCTTTTTTTTTGTGCTCATACTGGAGCTTGAATTCCACACTTCTCCCTCTCACTTGAGGCCATATCTCCACTTCTGACTTTTGTTTTGTTTTCAGCCATAGGGCTTGAACTCAAGACCTGGGCACTGTGCCTGAGCTCTTTTGCTCAAGGCTAGCGCTCTACCACTTTGAGCCACAGCTCCACTTGTGGTTTGAAGTGGCTAATTGGAGATAAGCGTCTCCTGGACTTTGCTGCCCAGACTAGCTTTGAACCACAATTCTGAGATCTCAGCCTCCCGAGTAGCTAAGATTCTACAGACATGAGCCACCAGCGCCCGGCACACTCCTAACATTTTGATGGTTAATTGGAAATAAGTGTTATAACTTTCCTGCTCTGCTGTCTTGGAACCGCTATCCTCAGAGCCTCTTGAATAGGATTAAGGGCATGAGCCACCAGCGCCAGGCCAGGTTTTTTCAAGGAGACTTCAAATATCAACTCCAGCCAGAGTCACAAAGCCTGAATGGCCATTGCCTTGAACATTTTTTTTTAATTTTTTTATTTTTTGTAAGTTGTAGGCTTGAATTCAGGGGTTGGGACTAGCATTTACCACTTCCGGGGTTCTGGTGATTACTTGGAGATAAGAGTCTGGTGGACTTTCCTGCCTGAGCTGGCTTTGAACCACTATCTTCAGATCTCAGCCTCCACTCAGCTAGGATTATAGGGTAAGCCACCAGTCCCTGACATTTGAACAATTTTTATATAGTTTGTAGCACAAGTAGAATTAATTGACTTTAGTACTTCTAACCATTCAAGTTTCTCACTGTACAAAAATCTACTTAAAGCCCAGCGCTGGTGGCTCATGCCTGTAATCCTAGCTACTCAGGAGGCTGAGATCTGAGGATCACAGTTCAAAGCCAGCCCAGGCAAGAAAGTCCAATTACCCACCAGAAAACCGAAAGCGGCTCTGTGGTTCAAGTGGTAGAGTGCTCATCTTGAAATGAAGAGCTCAGGAACAGTGCCCAGGCCCAGAGTTCAAGCCCCATGACTGACTCCCCCCAAAAAAGTCTACTTAAGCTGGGAAGGTGGCTCAGTAGTAGAGCGCTTGCCTTGCATGCATGAGGCCCTGGGTTTGATTCCTCAGCACAACATAAGCAAAAAAGAAAAAAGCCAGAAGTGGCACTGTGGCTCAAGTGGTAGAGCGCTAGCCATGAGCTGAAGAGCTGAGGGACAGCACCCAGGCCCAGAGTTCAGGCCCCACGACCGGACCCAAAAAAAAAAAGTCTACTTAAAGATAGGCTCTATTGAAAAACTAAAGGTAGTGACAATTCAATTTATAATTGAATTTTATATATTTGACTATGCTCATCAATGGCTTCCTTTTGGGGGACAAGTCATATAAAAAAGCTTCGAGTGTCACATTTCAGAAAGACTTTGGACATTAAAACAAATCCAGCATTTTGTAATCTATAATTCAATCGAAATTAAAATTATAAGAGATTGCTTGGCACTGGTGGCTTAAGCCTGTAATTCTAGCTTCT